ATTTCTTTTTGAAGAATCAAAAAAAATTTCATTAAAAGAAAATGATTACATCCTAACACCCTTGGCTGTCTAGATGACACACCCAATACATTCTCAAAGCTTTAAAATGAAAATGATTCTGCATTACAAGGTTGTAAATCAAGGGAATTCCAGAAATTTTCAATCAAATCAGCTTTGGAGATTTGATCAAATTGCCCATTCCTGCTATCAAACATTCAATGATCCACCCATTCTCCTCCCCACTTCTTCCTTCTCTCATACCCCTCATAATCCAGCTAAGAACCCTCATCTTCCTCCCCCTCTCCCTATCTTCCCACCAGCCCCAAGATCACTCAATCTCGTCCAGTCCATCTTCTCCCGTTTCCTCGTCCCACCCCTTGATTTTTTCTAAGTATTCTTCCTTTTTCTTTTTCTTTTTTTTTTTGATCAACATCCTTTTTCTTTTTCTCTTCTATTTTCTTTTTTCAAACTTCTCAAATGCTATTTTCACGAAGCCTTCCCCTCCCAAAAAAACTAAATCAAGAGACTTTCCTATCTCAACCTCCCTCTCCACCAATTTATTGATATTCACCTTCCCATTTTGTATTACTTCCTTGACTTCTCGGTCCTTTTGAATTTGTTTTGCTCTTTCTCTCTCCCTCTATTCCTGTCCCCAGTCTTTGAAACTTCCTCTTCTCCTTGTTTTTCTTCTTCTGGTCTCCCGATCGCAACCTCTCTCTCCACTAATCTCTAGAGAACTACATCACCTGACTCTCCATCAATAATATCATTACTTTGTGGCTACCTGTTCACACCTGAATCAGGCTCCACCCCACTTATCTCACTTTCCTGTTGTTCCTTCATCTTAAGGGGGCCAAAGGCTGATTTTGATTTGTTGCCTCCCTATGGTCTGTGCCAAATGCCCCACTACCTCTCATTCTTTTCCTCTTGTACACCCATTTGTATTTTTTGTTAAGTCCTGCCCCTGCCAAGCCGAGTTTTAGCCTTGAAAAAATCTTCATCACATGTATGATATTATGGTTTCTTAAATTACGTGGCTTCTTATCGGTCATCTGATCATCTCGTTAATTTGTTCCTCCTACTCCTGAAAATTGCTCCCTCTACCCAAATCGATGCCCACCCTTTCAACCTTAACCTCCTTGTAGGGTAGTCTAACCCCTCCCCATTTTTGATTTATTTTTGTTCTCTTGTTTAAAAGTGTTTGTTAAATCAATTTGAGAATGAACAAGGGCTCACTCATAGATATGAAGTGAGTTCATTCTTGTATGCTCAGAAATATGGAAAATGATAAGGGAGAAGTTGCCCCAGTTGACACCACTGCAAGCAACTGAAAAATGGAAGACCGATATGGGTGAGGTACTAAGGTGAGCAATATGGAAAAATGGGAAAAAATGAAAAAAAAAATGTAGAGAAGATGGGGTGAGATTGAACCTATATGGGGGAAAATTCACCCGATCATCATTGTTGCAAGTATAGAAGTGAGTTGGGAGAGAAACGATGGGGTTTCTATCATTTTTGAAGACGGGGCATTTTCTAGAAATAGTGAAAAATATTAAGGGCACTTTTGTCCCAATAAATTTGAATAAGTGCTTGAAAAAGAAAGCCACCCAACTGTTGCTTATTTCTTATGCATTTATTTCCTAGATAAGTGCTTATTCATCAAATGCATTTAAGTACTTAAAATGGGCTTTTGGTGTGGTTCCAACACTTATTTTAAGTACTTATTCGAATAAGTACTTAAAATAATTGCTCCCAAATAGGGGCTAACTATAAAATTTCAATTACAATGACCTTATTTGTAGGCTAAGCAAAAAGGCTTGAATATAGGGGTGGCAATTGGGCGGGTTGGGTTGGGTTGGGTTTGGGTTGAGTTTCAACCCAACCCATCTAATCCACCAACCCATTAATAACCCAGTTATATAAAATTAAATGGGTTGGGTCCAACCCAAACCCGCTTTAACCCAATCCAACCCCCTCAAACCCATTAATCTTATACTTATGGACTTAAAAAACAAAYTCTCTCTCTCTCTTAACAAATAAGTTGGTTGTAGCTTGGTGGTTATTGTAGTTACCATTTACATAAGTGGTGAAGGTTCAAATCACATTACATGCATGTTATTTTTACACAAGCAGCGAAGCCATTTAACTATGTTCGGATTCCAGATTTGACCGAACCACTTAGGTTCAAACCGATCAGACCAACTTAAACTGCATAGGTTCAAGGGTGGGTGAACCATTTAGATCTAGATCAGTCCAGTCGGACCGGACTGGACCAGTTCAGTCATTGGTGGATTGACTTGGACCGGACCATATCAGGTTTGTGCATGGGTTCGGGACCGGAGTGGCTGACCCGAATCGAGCCAATGTAACTAAATCGGGTCTGTCTGGATTCGGGTCGGGTCTTGTCGTGTGGATGTTGGTCGGATGGACAGTCCAGATCGGGCAAAGCATGCAGAGGCCAAATCATCCCACCCAAAACTGTTTCGGATTCGGTCAACCCGGATCGACTTGTACTGAGTCGAGTCGGACAATGTGAATATTGGTTGGGTCGGACGGCCCAAATAGGACAGAGCAAGCGGCACCGAACCATCCTGCCCGGGGTCTATTTCGGGTTTGGGTCAACCCGGATCAATATATGCTGGATCGGGTCAGACCGCGTTGAACTGGTCCGAACTCGAGTCAAATTGATTTGGATTTATGTTGAGTGAAGTGTGTTGATTCAAGACAAAACTAAACTTAGTCAATAATTAATAGAAAACTAATGCATTAATTATAAATTATTTATTTCAAATGAAGAAAATTTAAAAAAAAAAAAGTTAAGGAATTAATACTTATGTCTATAATGGTTAACCCAATGGTTATCCACAACCCAACCCAACCCATTTAACTGGGTGGGTTGGGTGATGGGTTGATCACACAACCCGCCAAGTAAATGGGCGGGTTGGGTGGGTTAGATACTGGGTGGGTTGGGTGGTTTCAACGGGTTGGGTTAAAAATTGCCACCCCTACTTGAATATCCCTAAGGGACAAAGTCTTTGTTCTTCAACAGAGGAGGACAATGATATGTTTTTCTTACAGATATTGAGAGAAAAGGAAGTTGAAGAGATTTCTTATGAAGAATACCATGATGAAGGCCACTAGCTAAAGCTCTATCTTAGTGAACACATTACAAACTAGGAGTGCAAGTCGGGTTGGCCCAAGTTAACAATTTACACTGTTTTGGGTTCGGGCTTCGAAAATCCCAACCCTAACCCGGAAAAGTTGCACCCCTATTACAAACCCCATTTCATGGTTCTCTGAATTGAAAATTGGTCTTCTGAAATGTCTCTTTATTAATCTATTTACACAAGAAATATGGTAGATGATAAACCAGTAATCTATGCTGTTATTGATCAAAAAAAATAACAATAATAAAGCTGTAACCTACACCTTGGTAGACTCTTGCAGTCTTGTGTAAAAGCAAAGGGCAAAGCACAAGGTGACTCCAAAAAATACCTTTTTGCCTAGGCGTCTACCTAGGTGACACCCTGAAAACTATGACTATGTTAGAAGAGAAAGGCAGGATAAAGAACATGGGAGAGAACAGGCTAGAAGGGTGATGGCAGAAAAATCCATAGCCCATTCTAATTCATCATGCTCAACCAATCATCTGGCCATCAAAATCATAATATCATTAAAAAAGCTGCTCCTATTGGACTAAAAGGATAAATTTCCTTCATAAACTAGTAAAAATTCTCAGAAGCCTGGCCTGATGTTTATATGTGAGAACCAAAAACATCCATCCAAACAGCAAAATACAAGGTCCTCAAATAAAATGATCCAAACAGTATTAACACTGAGAACTTCTTTGACTGATCAAATGAAAAGGCATTCAGAACTTCTTTGAAGGTTGGTTGTTTTTTACATTGATGACATCAAATGCCTACCAATAAAGCAGCACATAAGGAGTGAAAGAGAATCTTGAAGCTCCAGAGATCCTGGGACTAGAGTGTTTTCTTACTGATAAAAAGGATGTAGCTGTCTATCCCATAATACCAATTAGATCATTTCTAAAGCAAAAAACTGGCCAAGATATGACATACAAAAGGAGATGTTTCAACTGTACCACATAAGGAAGTTTCAGCAAGCAGCTAAAGAAAATTTTCAAACACTATTTACCCAAAGAACGTATTTATTTGTCAGAGGTGGAGCGAAGTCCAGAAATGAGATCTCTATTGAAGTGCAGAGCTCTCCAGATACATATATGGACTTTATATTACACAGAAACCATAATTGACAACGTTGTAAATATCTTCTACATGAATTTTGTGGGTGACATGTTTTCAAGCCTGGACCTTTCTCATAGAAGAACGTGCTAACCAGAAGTAATTGAACCTATCATAGTGGCAAAGCTCCCAGGCAAAATTGGCACAAAAACTAATCACACATCAAATTACTTTTAGAAGTATCTGACTGTCTAGAACGGTAGACTTATCAACGATCATATAGGTTTCTTGCTGGTCACCGGCGTGGAAGAAGAAACGGAAACAGCACTACATAGCTACCGGTCATCGAAAACGGAGTGCAACTCGCCCAAACGCGAGGTACTAAAAAACTTATGACTCGAATGAGACTCCAAGCAAGCCATCGTGGTGTGTTAAGACCCGACTAAGCATAAATAAAACCAGCATAGCATTATGAAGATTCGCAACGTCTATTTATAATCCATGAAGTTTAGATTTTAATACACAAACCCGGGGATCCCAATTCAGTACCCTCACTGGCGATATTCCACCTAAATCAGCAATATCGAATCAATTTAGCATGTTAAAATTGCCCCATCACCAATACGAAAACCCTTTTATCAGATACACTGGGAAAATCCATCCCAAGGCTAATTTCGGCCTCCTAATTGTCTTTCTAGAACCAAGAGAAGGAAGATGAAGACAATGAAGGACCAATAACAGTATCAATTCAGACAGGGTCAATAACAATTGAAGAGATTAAAGATGGAAAGTTACCCGGGCCAGCAACGTCTTGGGCTATTGGATCTGGTTGCGGAAAAAAAAAAACCCTAGATCCCCTCTTTTCGACGCAGGGCAGGTAAGAGGGAGGACGAGAGAGACGAGAGCTGGAGAGGGGTGGACGGCTTAAGGGTTTAGGGTTTTGAAAATGAAGAAGAAACACTGAATTTTTGGGTAAATTATAAAAACCCCCTCCTACTTAGTTAGGTCGGTGACAAATACCCCTTAACTTCCATTTGCGATAAGAATTCCCTTTTTTTTGTCAGCGCGATAACAACTCGCTACATAGGGGTGGCAATTTTCCAAGTCCCCGACGGGTATGCGGGCTCCCCGACCCGATGGGGTTGGGAATGGGGGTACCTTCGCGAGGTCGAGGTCGGGGTCGGGGATGGGAYTACCCCTGAATCCCCGATCGAGGACGGGGATGGGGACGGGGAATGCAATCCCCGCCCCGACCCGTCCCCGATTAATATATAATATTATATATATTATAAATTTATATATAATACTATTCGTTTTTAAAATATTAATTATTAAAACTTGAAAAATAGTAAAAGTGTAAAATACTAAACTAAAGTCTAAAACCCTCGAAAGAGAGAAGTCGAGAACTCTCAACTCATCTGTCTTTGGAATAGTTTCGCCGATTCGCCTTCCTTCATCTTCGACTTTTCGTCGTTGCAAAAGRTTCAGAACCCTAGTTCTGTGCCTTCTCGAGTGATAGAGAATACATAAAGAAGAGTTTCAGTCATCAGTCCTTCTAACCTTCGCCTATCATCGTTGACCGCCATCGTCGTGACCCCATTGCCCGTCGGAGTCTCTCTCATCGCCTATCTTAACTCTCCCAACGGTTCTCTCTCTCTGTCTCAACCTCTCGATCCATCGGGGATTCGGGTCTCCGACGAGGAATTCATCCCCGTTGGGGTCGGGAATGGAGGGGGGATTCCTTTCCTTGCCGGGGATCAGAGATGGGGATGGAGGCTGATTTAGGAGTTGGGATCAAGGATGGGGAATATAATCCACGCCCCAAACCCGCCTCGTTGCCATTCCTACCTACACTTTCATTTTGCGACAAATACATAGTGGGATCTATTACTTACAAAGCGTGCCCCACACTGATCTCACAGCCACATCCCTGAAGGGATGGGAGATCCAACATATGGATGGCTGAATCCTACAAGAAGATTGGGCGAAATTTCAAAAATTTCTTTACTCCCATACGGGAATCCCTATCAGAAGCCCTATCACCCGGACGATCCGGAGCAGGGTTCTTAGCAACTTTGTCAAATTTCTTGGACATCAAAACCAGCATAAGGTTACGATACTAGTTAGCGTAATTTGGGCCCTTAAACTTATTATTGTCCAACAGTTTGGCGAATTGTCTGTTTGCCATTTCCGATAAAAGGCAAAGCAAATATTAGTCCACAACCTGATTTGATTMATGTTATTTACATAGATATGACTTTTAATCTATGTTACATTTTCATTTATTCATCTCTAAGATTTCCCTCCTATCTTAGTGACAGAGATTGCGAATTATATCTCTGGAAATGTGGGAAACTACATATAGTGCATGGAACCAACTATTTCAGCTGCATAACCCCACCACCTTCTGTGAATGATTACATCCACTCATCTTATGAGCTTTCCCTTTGGCCTCTGCTAGACAAGGTTCATTGTCATTTTAGGTTAAACATTTATGTCTAGTAAGTGCTTACCCATCATATTCGTGAACGCCAAGGTACTGTGAAAGAGTATTCCATTTTATAATAGGCCCCTCCTACATCGGTCTATGATGCCCCTATCATCTTATGAAACAATCCAATAGATCCAGTAGCAAATGGATATACCAATTTKATGGTGCATCTCCTCATTACTGAATGACCCATTTTCATGCTAATGATGGAAGGCCTTTAGAGAGTTCATCATATGAATATTCCTATCACGTGCACTTATATTTCAGTGGAGGGAACGAAATATTACGCCCTAATTTTTAGGTCAAACCAAAGTAGCTCCCACTGGCTTTCTTAAAGCCATATTTAAATGGGCCCTAAACGGCTAAGGTTCCGCACAGTTCCTTCTCGAGGAGGAAGCTGATGTAGGGCCCACCAAATGGGGAGATCATCCAATGATCTTATRGACACCATGGCAATGATGTGCATTCAACCATGGTGTGTGAAAGAACCACTATCGAAATAATCATGGGCMAAGTACTTATGGCCCATGTACGTAGCACGTTATATATCCATACATCACATGCATGAAACAAATTGATCAAATCAATTAAATATCTGTAAAACCCTTAATTAATTAGATTAAATCAGTATCAACCCAACAAAAGCCCATAATGTTATCATATAACATTATCTAGGTATATGGGCTGTATTACAAAAAGCAGTTTGGTCCATATAGCTAAATTAGGGTTGATTCAGTTGTATCATATTAAAGCTAGGTTTTTACAGAGGTGGACCGAATTAAAACTTGAAGTGGGCCATCAACCCTCTGGCCTAAATCGAATTAGCGTCAGCAAAAACCAACCCCATTGAACCAACAATTTGGTCCAACAAGTTTGGACCAAATCTGGTGTAAATCGGCCCAAGTTTTGGTGTCCAATTCAAGAATTAATTAAAGAATAATGATATGAAAAATAAATTAATTCAAGATAATCAAATTATCAAGAAAACAAAATAAGAGAGTTGCACTATGATTTTCTTGGATGTCCTGCAAACTTGCAAAGAACAATTAATCGTAGATTGCATAATTGATATCTACAAAATCGCAGATCGTAGAACTCCCTTCTAYGAAATCTTCTTCTCCTCTGTTGCGCACTCCAGCAATCTCCATATGGAATTAAAATAGGAAAACATAATTTTTCTGTTATTACATCACATCGAATTCCTATACAATTTGTCTAAAAATAAAATAAAAAAATGARAAGGTCACTTGTCTGAATGGTGATAGTGGGTTGTAAACTTTAACAACAACTTCTCATAAAATGCCATGTGCCTAGAATTCCAAAAAAACGAGAAGGCCACGTGTTTAAATGGTGGGGGTTGTAGCCTGAAGACCTTCCCTTTACCTACACGTGTCTAGGTTTCCAGAAGATGCCATATTCCCAATAAGCGGCCAGGACATGTTGTGAGGCCATTTTGATGCATGCTCTGTGAGGAGCATATATGAACTTGACAAATACCTCCATAATGCGTTAAATTATAAAATGACCATCCAAACTTCCCCTATTTTCTTTCTCACCTATTTCTTTTAAACCCTAATTAACCAAAAATACCTTTATTTTTACCCAAAGGAACCAAGTAAAATAACAAAAATCATTTCATTGGCATGAAAAAAAAAAAGCTTTTTAAAATTTTTTATAGACTAAGACATGAATCACGTGCATTCACATGCAAATAGTTAAAGAGCAAAATTGGGTTTTAAAAATTACAAAAATTATGTGTAATTGCATGTGGACGAAATGTAATGGTGATATAATAATAGGAGTAGAGTTAGTCAATTGTTAAAAAACCTAAGAATTATAATTGAGACACATAATGATCCTAATGCAATAAATAAATARTTAAATAAATTTTTGTTGATCCTAATACAATTTTATTCGAGACACATAATGCAAATAAAACCCTACAATTCAACCAATTTGGTTCAATTCTATTAGGTTTGTCCAACATTTATAGCCTTAATTACAAATGGGATATATGATGCACATCGAAACCTTAAATAATTAGATTGGTTTGGTTATATTGATAATGGGTATACTCGATGGAGTTTGGATTTGGTCCCAATAACCATTACAATTGTATATTGGTAACATCTAGCCACGAAGGACAAGGGGGATATTTCCAATACATTGTTGTAATGGCTATTGAGCCTATGGGTGCAATCGAACCGATACAAAATGAACTTTGGCATGTCTTGGCTCAACTTGACTAAAATATTCAAGTTTGAGTTCAAGTTCAGCTTAAAAGCTCGAAAATAAATATATTATATATATATATATGATAATTTTAAGTAATAGGTGTATGTTATTATATTATATAGAATATAACAAATATTTTTATATATGTTATATAATGTATTTTTATATTCTATAATACATATAAGTACATATGTATGTATGTGTTAATTAAGCTAAACTTGGGAGCTTCCAAACCAAACTTTTTATTGGTTGAGCTCCAATTCAAATAACTAATGGATTAATGGCTCTAACAACCCTTGTACTATTCCGAAAAGGTAATTTTGCCCTCAAAYCGAAAAAAAGGCCAATTTAAACTCCATACTTCGAAAAAAAGGCCAACCAWAAGCAAATAAAGCCTGGTGTTAGTGATGTCGTTCACAATCCGTTAAATAATGAATAAAATAATAGGAAATGTTGATGTATCATTGTTAAACTAAAAAAAAAACTACAAATTTGCAAGCGGATCCCAATGAATAAAATAAAAAACTATTTAATATATAATCATAAATGTTGAAAATAATATACAAGTGGGTCCCACTTAAAATTTTTTCTTTTAAGATAAATAATAAGTGGGCCCCACTTAAAATTTTCTCTTTTAAGATAAATAATAAGTGGGCCCCACTTGAAATTTCCTTTAAGAGAGAAAAATAATAGGTGGCCCCCACTTAAAATTGTAAGTGGGTCAGAGGGGATACTTTCCCTTGAGAACATCGCGACACGACAACAAAAGGGTGGTGCGGGAGATACTGAGACAAAATAAGATGTTTATTGCAAAACCCCTACACATGCATCTCTTCCCTCCTTTTCCAATCATCTGAACAACTCCAATTCTAACGCTAACATCCCGTTCCCTTTGACCCACTTCTATAGTCCTCACTTTTCCTCTTCTCAAATCATCAATTTCAGCAACGGAACTAGCAATATCGCCACTAGATCCATCCCTTGCTTCAACATCAAAAGCGATAGCTCAAACCCATGTAGATATCCTTGCGGAATCCCTCCCATTTATCCAGAAGTTTTGTGGCAACACCTTCCTCTTCAAGTACAATGGCGCATCCATGAAGGATCAAAGTCTTTGGGCATCCGTCATCAACGATCTCGTCCTCCTCTCTTGCATTGGTCTTCATCCTGTCTTCATCCATGGAGGTGGCCCTGAAATTAA